ACCAACCGAATGGAAGAAGGAACATCTTCCACCACGATATGGTGTTGACCCAGACAACAAATCCAGCCGTGCATTTCATTCCTTGGTAAATACTGTATTGAAGGAGGTCAGAAAAGATTTTGAAACTGTGGTAAGCCATTCCGTTATGCCTGCTTGACTTGTCCACCTATCTGACCAACCATCATAAGCTCCTTCAAAACATCTATCTTCCGGATCGAAAAACACCACGTGTCGATGCCCCGGTACCAATTCTGGACACTATAATTGTCAAAGTAAGTAACTTTTGATCGTGGCATGTGGTTACATGCTGAACCTGTGTATTCCCCGTATGCACAGCTGTACCAAAAGGAACACGGTGTCAGTGGGCAAGTTCTAGTCACCAAAGAGGTACTCGACCAGGTAGGCTACCTTCGATCATCACGATATGCATGGCTGGTCAGTTCACCATGTTGTTTATCTATGTGCAACTCATACCTTATAACTTACCCCTGTCTATGTCCGCCTATCAGAGGATGCAAGCAATCCACTGGGGGTTAAACCGTAATACAAAGAATTTTAAGTATGGCTCCCGATCGTTGTGGGATGTCATCGATGAACAATTGGAACACTTACGCACTAAATCCACACGATACCGTCACGCGTAAGTGATACTATCTCCTTGAAATACTACCACCTTCCAAATACTTACTGGGGGAATTTCACAGGTTTTTTACGTTATGTGACCAAAATGACATCAATCGAATCGATGGTACCAAGAATTTTGCCCAATTGAAGGAATCTACTGACTTCTCTATGCCAACTGAGACACAAATTCAAGAAGAAATCGAGTATTTGAATCAAACTTTTGGTACGGAACAGTCAGCAGACGAGGTGTTGCATGTACACGAAGTCTAGGTTTGATGCATGGTTCTATGACATACAGACTACTTCGGTCTATGTTTTCATTTCTTCTTTGATTTCTTATTTTAACTCTTATTTTAACTCTTCTTTGATCTCTCTTAACTCTTATTTTATCTCTTATTTTATCTCTTATCAATGGCTCATTTGTACATAAGTCTTTTCCCTCGTCTTTTTTTTTGTATATCATTGTCAACTCTTATTTTGATTTCTCATTAATCTCAATGTGGATTTTTATGTATTTGAGTCGACTCAATTATAGCAATTAACACGAAGTCATCTGCAATATTATATTCTGTTTGTGTTTCATTAAACAATTACAAAGTGACAAAATTTATTGAGTCAATAAATCGAGGCATTCATGTCCTTGCGACCAATGATGGTTGATGGCCTCAACCAGTTTCGAGCAAGTGACAACTGGTTGAATCACCAGTCTTGCAAAACACGGGTTACAACACCGTAAAACGGCCACGTGTGGCCAACGATGGTCACCACCAAAGAAAAACCTGGTCCTCAACCGTGACTCGACCCCGGCTGAGGACCCGTTAGAGGGGGTTCGTGGTGTATATTTCAAAGCAAATCTTTTTGTTTGATAAAAAGGTCAAAAGAAACCATAGTTGATACTTGTCATCGTGAGTTTAATTAATTCTAGATGATTTAAAAACTTGCTCGTTATCATGATGTGCTGATGAAACTGTATCTCAATTGGGAGCCGTCTGGAATCGTCTCTGGCTTCGTCTGGATTGTTTCTACGACGTTTTGGCAAGGTTTGATCAGACCTACTCGAAAATCGAGTATCTGTACAGCGCAATACAGGTTTGTGTTTCGGGTTTTGAGGTTTGTCTTCCACCCTCCTCTCTCGTCCATCGTAAGCATAAGGGCCCGTTCCGCTGGATTTCGAAAACTCTGTTTGGCCAAAAACCCCACCAAAGCCAAAAACTCTTTTTGACCAAGCAGAGTTTTTGTTTTTGGTCAAAAACTCCAGCGTTTGGAAACAATTTCTGATCAAATACAAAAACTCTGTTTGATCAAAAAATCATCGATTTTGAAAAACAGCCTTGAGGCTGTTTTTAAACCCAAAAACTCTTTTTGCCCCATCCCTCCATTGATCAACTCACCCCATCTCTCTCTCTCCCTATCTCATACCCTTTTATTTCCTTCACACCCTCACCTTTCCTCAGCTTCCTCTATATCATAGTCCTTTGATTTCCCTCTTCACACCTTCACCTTTCCTCAGCTTCCTCTATATCGTAGTTTCTTATTTACACATGATCGAGTCCTTTGATTTCCTTCTTCACACCTTCACCTTTCCTCAGCTTCCTCTATATCGTAGTCCTTTATATACACATGACCGAGTTCTTTCCTCAGCTTCCGTCCTTTATATACACCTGATCGAGTCCTTTCCTCAGCTTCCTCTATATCATAGTCCCTTATATACACATGATCGAGTCCTTTTTTATCAACTACTGTCATCGTCCACTAAAAGCTATTATTGCTGTAGCCGTCTTTCAATTTCTTCATTGTATCCTTGTTGTCTTTTCCATCCTCATCTTTTAAAAGCTATTGCTATAGCCATTATTCTATTTTTTCATCGTCTCAACTTCGCTATGGGTACCACTGACAAACCCAAACCCAAACCGCGACCCCAAGCTCCCAGAGCAGTTCGAGCTCTACAAGAAGCTCATTCACCAACCACTTTAGACTCAACTACTTTGAACCCATTGGCTACTCCAATGGCTACTCCAGTTGCTGCTTTGAACCTGCCAATTGCCAAGGAACCAAAAGACCCAAAGATCAAGGCCCAATGGGACGATGACGACAATGTGATCTTTGTCAAGGTCTTGACTGCTGAACATCAGCCTGCCAACGGACCAATTGGACCCCAAAACGCTACTATGGCGCATGGCTTCAAGACTGCCACATGGACTGCTGTAACTGAAAGACTTGCAGGAAGCAAAAACAAGATGATACCGAGTACTGATTTAGTCAATGTTAGTGGAGTCAAAACCGCGAAGGCTTGTAAGACTCACTGGTATGTTGTAATTACCTTTCTTTGACATCCTTTATTGTTTTGTTTTGTTTTGTTTTTATTGATGTTATCTTTCTTCTGCAGTTGTTGAAATTATATGCCGATTACAAACACCTCAATGGGCTGAGTGGTGCAGGGTGGAAGGATGGCTGCATTGATCTACCTGATGCAGTCTGGGCGCTGATTCTAGCCGATAAAGTAAGTCCATGTTCTTCTTTCGGATCCTTCAGTGCACTATTCAAATTTGTTTTTTACTGACTTCTTTGTCTCTTGAAGAAGAGTACCAAGGCCAAGGATTATGCCTGGTTGAAAGGTCAACCTTTTCCCCTCTTTGATGCAATCGGTACTCTAGTTGAAGGCCACAAGGCTACGGGCAAGTATGTCAAAGGTGCAATTGTCAATAACACCGAATCAGCTTCGACTTCAACCAGCCCCAAAGAATTGGAGCCTGAGCGAGGGGCGGAAAAATTGGTGCAGAAGTGGAAAGTGCGGAATAGTGCATACAGATTGTACAGAGAGCTCTTGAAGAGCACTGTCCAATTCGGGAAGGTGACTGCGCTCGATTTTGTTTGTTTCGTTTCATCCTCAGTACAAAGTAGAACAAACGATGGACAATGAAAATAAAAAAACCATGTTGCCTATACCACATGATTCAAAGACGTAGGGAACCAGACCATCTCAATTCTTGAGAAACCAATCAATGTTTTTAAAAGATCTCATCTCCATTCTTGATGCGTATGACAACAACATCATGTCAACACTCACTGTGCAAGACTTTGTTAAGTTCTTATGTGTCGCCGCCGACGTGGTCGTGCGGTGTGAGAAGTCTCTTGAGATCACTACAAACCGAAGGCCTATACAATACCTCGCGGCGAGTCTTCCCTTGTCCATCCATAACCGTTTGGAGGTCTTATGGGAGGCTTCTTTCTGCATATTGAAAGAGTGTTTCATCAATGCACAATACCATGTCAAATCTCATGGTATAATGCCTGAACTCAATGATGGTCGGCTACCCATCTGCATAGTGGAACAATCGCTATACCCCCCTTTTGAACACTGCCCAAAGTGCTCAAGGACGCGACCTATGCGAGCAAAGTCATTGTTCGGATACCTATACGACGTTGATGGATGCCATACAATTGAACACTTTTACCTCTACTGTCAACATAAGCGCACCATCATCAATATGCGGAGAAGAGGACTGACAGACAGATGACAGATGTTTAATATACTTGATCCTCTGCCAGCTTGCCGGACCAGTTATCACGTCAGCTATTCAATTTACAACGAAGAACGGATGTTCTATACAACATCTGAATGCAGGAACCCCGAAGTCTTCCAAGTTCATACGCATTACTTCATGACTCACCGCTTGGCACATCATTTCAAGATGAGCCAAATGCTACAACGGTAAGATTATTTTGTGTCTAAGCTCAAAAACACTTGATTCTCATTTTGGTTTTATTTTTTTAGGTGTTCAGTGTTCAGCATTGTCAATTTGTACAACTCAACCTTCATGGGGTCCCACGCCCCTCCGTTGTTCACTTCCCAGCAGGCCTTCTTTCCTCGATTGTCTGCCGAAGTTTGCAAAGACGGAATGGGCATTGATACGTTGCTTTTCAATTACTCTTCAAGGAGTAAAGTGCTCGTGGTCCCAGATTCCGGACTAGACCGTGTCCGTGACAACGAAGCGAAGAAAGAATGTACCTCCTGGATAGCCGCGGAAGGGACTGCCCACAAGAATCATGCTTGCAGTCTTTGTATGTGTATCACATACAACGAAGAGGACAACAAGCACTCAGGTATGGTACAATGATCAGTCACTGCTCTAAACAAGAAGCTGATTCATATGATTTTATTTCGCGAGTTCAGTTGTTCGTGCTGTTGTGACCAATGGTTTGACCATCAGCCACTGGAGATGCAGTGCTTCTGCATCTCAGCTGGAAATGTTGGCCAAAGATTTTGGCCACCCAGCACCAGATGGCCCTTGTCGAAGGACTTTAGATACTGTTCGAAATTGCTACTGTAGTTTTCATGAACCGCTTCTTGAAGGTTTTTGCCAGGCTCAGCCTTGCACCCAACCGGCGCTTGCAAATAAGAGGACCTGTGGCCTTCAATCTCACCAAGAGGCTGCCAAAACATTTTCCACTCGAGTTAATTCAAACTTCCAGCTTCACTCTATGTTAAATCGACCAGGTTCAAACCTAAACTTGGATCCCTCTGTCCATCTAGAAGACAAGTCCAGTGAAATTCCAGATTTGGCATCATTGCAGCAAGCCGATGAATCAGACCGAGTTGAAGAAAGCCAAAGATCCGGCAAAGAGGGCAGTACCAAAAAGCAACCCTTTCAAGAGCACGAACTCACAACGATCAACTTGTGGTGGCTCCTTGTGGTGTCATACTTGCCCGCCAAACAATGTTCAATTCTGAGTCACCAAGTGCCGTTAAAGTAGAGATCTTTTGCTTCAATTCAACTTCAAATCATAGTAATTCACTGATAAACATCTCATTCTCAGCTTTTCCTTCTAGATACCTTCCCAACCCGCATGTCTGAAGTCATTTTATACGATAATGCGTGCAAGTTATTAGCACATATATACAAGTCAGCTGCTGAAGAGCGTGATCAATTCACCAAAAGCATCGTGGCTGTTGATGCATTCCATTTCAAATCTCACAAAGAAAATGACTGCTTTTGTAGGCAGTGGACCGATCCCAATCTGTGTCCTCAGTTGAAAAAGGACGGTTCTTGGATATTCAACTCATCAGCAGCTGAAATTGCTAATATATGGTACGGAGGTTTTGCCTCCATCTGTCAAAACATGACCGCGGTTGAATTCAACTTCTTCCTGGATGAAATGGTTCGGCTTCATAACATCTGGATATGTGAAAATTTATCGAAAAGGAAAAACATAGTACATATTGGTACTATCACTTTTTGATAACGTGAAAGTTATAATGGCGGTTCATATGTTTTACTTTAATGTCAAAAACTTCAACTTGGTTGTTTATTTACATATTCAATCTCTTTCGATAACAATCTCTTTCAATAACGATCTCTTTCAATAATGATCTCTTTTGTTATCGATCTCTTACGTTATTGATGTCTTTTGATAATTTGATCATCTGATGTTTCATTATTCATTTCAATAAATAGCATTTGGGTCTCTTGATGTGTTATCATCAAAGTCTCGTATAATAACCAATGTCAGCTTTCATTTGCAAGTTTGTTCACATTTCTTGATCAATAGTTGTTCGATTTTTGAACCTCAAGTTAACACATACATGTAACCAGTGGGACAGTAATTACAAAGATTGATGATCGATAGCGTAATCAAATGAAAGAAAAGTGAAATCATGAAGGACACAATTCAATTGTTCACAATCTGTACATCAGAGCGCGTGTTGTCCACAACTTCCACCTTTCTTCTTTTCAATTCCTGCTGTTGAACATGTTCACGATCTTGTTTTTGCTTTGGTTGAACTGTTTGATCATTTTGCTTGGTCTTTGTTGCCAACCACTCTTGCTGATACTTCTTCTGAGCTGCGATGAGGGTAAGGGAAGGGTTCTCGCGAGTGTCAAGGTCCAACTTCTTGACTCCCACCAGGTTAATCCAATTCTTGACTCGATACACCGTGGTATGACCGTAATCATACATATCTCCAAAGAACTCGACCCAGGCAACTCGTGGACTACCTTCACTGTCATATGATAGATGCCATCTTAGGGTTTGGCGGAGCAATACCCTAGAATCGGGCCAAGTACTCTTGGCCCTTTGATTCTACATTTGAATGACAGATGTGATAAGCAAATATTTCACAATCGACAAGGTAAAGACACATTACACATACCTTGACATGCAAATCCGAGGATCCTATGCATTCGATATCGGAGATCTCGGAGTCTTTGGACTGGTTCGTGCTTTTTTGTGAGTATATCGTTCAAGATGAAGGGAGGGGCAAACTATCTGGGGTGGCTGGTTCCATAGACGTCTCCACATCTAGTTGAATATGATGACGGACTGCTGGTGCTGGTGCTGGTGCTCGTGCTGGTACTGGTACTGGTACTGGTGACTTCAAACTTGAACTGGCGATTTTTGGCGGGTTTGGTGAGTTTGTGATGATGCACCGAGACGGTGTGGTAAGTGGCTCATAGGGTCCCTCGGTGGTCATCTTTATGATTGCTTTGGAAAGGCCCACGCAATTGCTATCAGATATTGATTCCAGTCGGACCAGTATTTTGCGCGGGATTGGAGGATACTTTGAAGTGCATGTAGGGGCTAGGGAAACCTAGGATTGGGAAGTCTGATGAATTAGTTTTGTTCATCACGATGATCAGAATGAATGTGTTCAAAGTAAGAAGCACATACCCATTGGAATTGTTCCATGTTCCACACCTCGATCTCCGACTCCCAGTCCTCTGTGTTGCTCGTCACTTTCCTACATTTATCAAGAATGATTTGAAACTCTTGGAGTGAAAAAAGGGGCCAATTGGGTGCTTCTGCATTGATAAGCGTGCTAGAGCCAGGCTGTAAGTGGGACAAACCATCTATGAATCAGTACGAGTGAGTTCATATTGAGTAACCATCTAATCTCACCTTAGTCCAAAGCTCAATCCAAATTGTGCGTGCTGCCTCTCTTTTTGCAGCATCCCGACTCTTTGCTACAAGATCAACTGCCTTAAGATTTTCATGGTATTCGGATAGCTGTGATGGTGTTAGGGTGGAGGTCACTGCCCGATTGGCTTGGGCGGACTGGATTTGCCTCGATTTTGGTTGCTGTGACCCGCTTGGTCCGGCTAGGGATGGGGAGGAATGTTGAGTCAAAACCGTCGGTTGAGATAGGGGTTGAGAGGAACCTTGATTGTAAACATTCAAATGAAATGGTACAAAGTTGTTGATCGCAGGGCTTGACCGATGTTGATCTCCAGAAGACAAAGCCGTGTAAAAGTGGGCCTTGAAGTTGCATGTCAAACCATGCACTCGTTGGACCATCTGGCAGCACTTCATCCAGAGGTGATTCAGTCAGACTCATCTTCATTTGTTTAATTGAGACAAAAGAGATAAAAAAGGCCTTACCAAAAGACACAACCGGAGGCTACACTTCATGTTTGACTTGTTGGATGACTGATGCGTGGCCCCAGTTCTCCCTAAATACCCTGGGCACAGTTGACTCGTAGTTTTTTTCTTCAAGTGATCGGGTTCATCGTTGCTGACATTAAGTAGCCCTGAGAGGCTTCCAGGAGCTGGAGGTGGTTGAGCTCCCGCGTTGATAGCTCGAATTTCATTGATTAAGTGTTTGATTTTGAGAGTTCAAACATATCCTTTTCCGTGGGCGTGGTGAGAGTCGGGTTGATAACACTAGAGGTAAGAAGCTTTAGCCATAGAACAAACAACACTACAAAAAAAGAAAGATATAGATATTGGAACGTACCTTTCAGTTGATATTTGCTGGGTTTGGGAAGCGAGGCGGGCAGTATTGTAGCTGACTAGTCGACGTGAGCGGGCATTCTGGACAGGTCAGTCCAGTGAGCTGGCCAGCGACGGGTGATGGAAGGGGATGGACGATTCGACAATGTCAATTCGTGATGTACAATTTGTGTGGAGTTGATATATGGATCTGGCCAGACATGTCGAGAACTTGCCAGTGAGGGAGATCAAGACGATGAGAGACCAGCCGGATAGCGAGTTCTTGTTTTTTTGAGAAGCTTCATCTTGATTTTTTTGCTGGATGAGACTGTGATTGGGTGAATCCGCATTGGTAATAGCTTCAAATACCATTCTGCTTTTGGATTCTGAGACGAATGTGCTGACTAGAGGATAGACTGTACGTACCCTGTACTCACCCTGTTTTTTTTGCCGTTTCCACTCCTTCCGCACTTTCCGCCTTGCTTCGCCCAGGCTCTGATGCTCTCACCAGCCCAATCATGAACAAAACCAGGATGCCTTCACCTTTTATTGGCCAAGCTGAAGGACCTCTTACTGGCCAAGTCAATGAGCCTTTTGATTGCGGCTTCTCTTCTTCACCACCTGGATTCCACGCGGCTGCCAAATCACTTGCTTCTGACAATTCCGACCTACCTAAGGATGACAAGGCCAAAGATGACTTGAGTTCAGAAGGCGAAGGTCCAGCAGCAAAGCGACATCACCAGTCTAAGGTTGCTCTGAAAGCACGTGCTCCAACCAAATTGAAGAAACAATCCGATATTGAGATCATTGATGGCATCTCGGACAACATGAAGGTGTTTGGTTCAAACATTCAGTCTTCTATAGCATCGACTTCAGCTTCTATTGACACTGCAGCCCATTCGATTCAAATGGAGAAGCCTTCCACTCATGGACAAGCTGTTTCCCTCATCTATAAATCCACTCTCGAACGCACACAACGCTACACTGATTTAGACTTGTTTGCTGAAAAGCCTGTGATGGCCAAAACTTACGTCAATACACCAATACATCCTCAGCAAATAAAGTAAGTAGTTTCTTTATTAGTTTCTTGATTATTGTCATCACCTACTGATTTTGTTCTCTGTCATTTATACCAAGATCAACTTCAAATTATTATCGAGTTCATCCTGTATCCATACACACTGATACATCTTTAGTATTGACTTCATCAAATAAATGTTTTAAGACCTTTAAATAAAAATGTTGTGGTTGTCTGATTTAAATAAAAATTTATTAAACCTTTAAATAAAAATATAGTAGCTGAGTGATCTTAAATAAAAATTCATTAAACCTTTAAATAAAATATATTGTCAACTACATTTGTATATAAACATGCTGATACAAGTGTGTAGTGGCTGTGACTGTTGGTTTTTTAGTGATTGCAATGTCAACCTATATATGTGTTATCAAAAGACTCATGATATGAACTGATCATGAATTGAGAGGACCTTTCATTAAACAAACAAAAACAAAAGGTTTGACTAATAAATGTAAAATAAAAATACTTCTAAGGGAGACTTGTAGTACATGTGAGATAAGAATGCTTTTGAGACTTGTGATAAATGATACATGTATCAATTAAAAATGCTTCGATTGAGAGTTGTAAAATAAAAATTGAAATAGCTACATATATGATTTAAACACCAGGATACATGGGAGGTAGTCTGTGTTGTTGTTTAGTTCGATGTACCTTCTTTCTTCTTTCAGTCTCTACTAAGTAATCCCTCCACATATCTTCTGCAATTTGATCTCTGAGGTTTTTAGCATAGCTATTACCTTCAGCAGTACTACCAAATTCTTGAAGATAACCAGATTGTTCTTGAGTAGGCGCTTCTGCAGTTTCTTGAGGGTTGGGAATGAATCCTTCTCTGAATTGAGGGAATTCTTCAGCTGAACCTTTTGGATCTTTAACACGAATGAAGTTGTGAATGAAGCACATAACAGTAACCATTGAAATTTGAATCTCGATGGTGTATTCACACCCGTGAGCCATGATCTTAAAGCGCTTCTTGCAAACTCCAAAGATACGCTCAATAACGTTACATGCACTAGCTGTTGAAGATTGAAGAGTTCTTCTTTATTCAACGGTCTAATATGGAAGGATAAGAGTGGTGAGAAGAAGAAAGACAGAGAAAAGTATGAAAATGATGGAAGAAAAAGAAATCTCACTTGGCACCTTTCTTTTCCCACTCTTGTGAATGATAACGAACTTTTCGAAAAGGAACAATACAATCTTCAGTGAGAGAAAAGCCAGCATCACCGAGATAATATTTTCCAGCGGGGATAGTAAGATCACGACTTTGAGCCAAAGTCCAAAGAGCCCTGTCAGCCATACTTCCTTCAGCTCCGACCAATAAATAAATAAACTCCATGTTGAAATTACAGGCAGCAAGGACATTCTGAGATGTGTAGCCTTTACGATTAGAGAAAGGAATGAATTCGGAAGCTGGCGGAGTGACCGGAATGTGTGTACCGTCAATTGCACCAATGCAGTCTTTGAAATAAGGGTATCCGCAAGAGGAGTGTTGGCATTGGGAAGAGGAATATATTTGCTGAGTAAATCTCCGTCATTGGAAATTCCTTTAATAAGGTGATTGATTGTCCTAGCCAAAAGAGATAGTGATGAGAAAATTTGAAAAGAAGCAAAAAAAAGCAAAAAATGAAAGATAGATGAATTACTTAGAAATAGTCTCAGCCAATCTTTGAAAACAATTTTGAAGTTTACGATTAGAAAGGCCGGTGATGACAGTATAGAGAAGGATAGCCAACTTCTCAGTTCCGGTGATCCAACAGGAGTCATATAAAATTCCGGATTCTTCAAGTACAGAATGTAATACAAAAAAAACATGTTTACGCATGCCGAGATTCTCGTAGAAAACTGAGTTATTTTGACTAGCTATGAGCTCATCAATCCAAGCCTGACCGCTGAGGATGGACGTAAGACACGGAGTTTTGGTGAGATGAGACAGGATTTGAGCTGCACATGCCTGTACACCAGTGCTGAAGTAACAAAAAATTTGGAATTGTTGCTGTTGAACAGCAAGGAGATGTTTAAGAAATTGCAGTTTGAGCAACTTTTGATTTTTGGCGCGCTTTACAGGTGTGAGAGAATAAATTGAAGCACGAGGACGACACTCCATGATGTTTTGAATGATGTGATGTGAAATGTCACAATGATACAAAAGACTGATGAATTTGGTCTTTGATGACCGTGATGGATGGATGGATGGATGGATGGGAAAACAAAAACAAAAACGGACTGATTGATTTTCAAGTTTCAATTGGTCAAGTTTTGATTGAAAAACACTTTCATTTCATTGTTACCAAACAGTCAACGTTGATCAAATGGTCAACAACGATCTTTTTGATCTTTTGTTGACCTTATTGGTCAACTGCTTGGTAACCAAAAAAGCCAAAAAAAACGAAAATCTCTATCTGCCCCTTGAAACAGGGGCAGATTGAAATTTTGTTTTTGTGTAACAAATTGTTCTGAATCCAGCCAAACGGGCCCTAAGATTGTTTGTTTTTTGCTGTTTTTGCGGCACCCCAAAATAAAGACCCTCTGTTTGTGTTTGGCAGTTTTTTACTACCACTAGATGATCCTCCATTTAAAAGACACACCTAAGCCTCCATGTATCAAGATCAATATCAATAGATATACGGGAGTCAAACAGATGGACAAAGAGCTACGGGAGGAATGTAATCAAAACCGATCTATCAAATCTTGAAAGAAAAGAAGAGAGCATTGGAGCCTCCCCGAGGCAAGGCGGAAAGTGCGGAAAATACAGGCCAAACGTACAGGGTAGGGTAAGGGTAGTGAGTGAGAACATTGGTTTCAGCATCCCAAAGCGGAAAGGCCACATCTCAAAGGAGAAAGGCAGAACACGCATTCACCAGCAAAAAAACTCAAGCTGAGCAACTTATCAAAAAAACAACAATCTTTCACCACCACTTACCAGCTTTTGATCATATCGACGCTTATTGGCCATAGCCAACTTTTTTCGATTACAATGTCTGGACAGATTCATATCTTGACTGCAGCCAAATCTTACATCACAGATTGACATCGTCACTATTAGGATGGGTAGCCGACCATTATCAAGTTTGGTCATTATACCATGTCATTTGACGGTGTTGGGCATTGATGTAACAATCCTTCAAGATGTTGAAAGAGGCATCCCACAACATCTCCCAATAGTGATGGATGGAGGGCGGAAGACTCGCAGCGAGGTATCATATGGGCATTCTGAGCGTAGTGAGCTGAAGAGATTGTTCAGAGCGCACAACCACGTTGGCGGCAACACATAAGAACTTGACAAAGTCTTGCACAGTGATTGTCAACATGATGTTGGCATCAAGGGCATCAAGAATTGATATGAGGTCGGTCAAAAGCATTGATAGGTAGGAAGATGAGGTCTTTTGAAAAAAATGAAAGGCTTTGTTTCTCTTAGTTCCCTAACCCTTTACCACATTTACGCAACACTCTTTTATCATGCTTTTTACTCAACATCATTTGTAACGAGTATTTCACCCGGTCCCAATGTTCTTTGTAAGTATGGTGAAATGTGTTCAAAGGAAGCCCACTGCCCAATTCGGACAGTGCTCTTTTGAGAGCTGATTGTACAGTTCCGTATTTTTTCTGCACTTTCCGCCTCCACACGGAATTTTTCCGTGCTTTGCGCAGGCTCCAATCCTTTGGAAAAGAAGGATAAGTGAAGACCAACTTGACAAAAGAACAAGATGATTTTGCTTGGTAAGAAAATCCACAGCTATCAAAGATTGAGAAAAAAAAGAATGCTGAAAAACCTTACAACTACTCAATTGAGACTCCAAAAACTTGTAAACCCCCAAAATGATTGTGAAAAGTAGAGAGAGTACATGGTTCTGAAGGCTCAACATTGAACAAGATCACAATATGAAAGATTGAAACGCAGAAGGTTTGCTGTAAACTGAATTGACAAAAAACATTGTAGAACAATTGTTATCAAATGAAGGTTATCTTTGAGTCTGAAGTCAAGTAAGATTGCTTTCAGCTGGATTGTTGCGACCACCTTGCTACAAAGCCATGCAGAATCGTTCAAGTTAATTGAGGAGCTATTTGTAACAGTGAAAGCAAGATACAATGAGTATGTCTTTGTAAAAAAACCTCAGCTTTTCCCAAAAAAATGAACCTACACCTCAAAAGGATTAATGATGCAGTGTACAAGTTACTCCCTTTCCACAGAGGTTCTTCAATCTTTTATAGGGGTCTGGAGCATCTCCTCCGGGGCTGCTTGAGCAGCGGCCAAAGAGATGGCAAACATAAAGCACTGCAAACATCATTCAACTTCCCCAAGTGGGCAGGAAAAAATGATTGGGAGTATGACTTGTCATAAAATGATCTATAACTTCTCACCAGAGCCATAACACCCACACTACATATGTGTAGTAGGCTCAGTGAATAGGTGGTTATCCTGATACAGTTCTGCTCAGTTATCTGCGCATGAGGATAATTTATTCATATGTAATACATGCTGTAACTTTTTTCAGATTGACAAAAGCATTCAAAAGATTGACTACATACACTGACTCAACATTTTGGTGTAATCTCATTAAGTCAACTGCATGTAACACCCTTTCTGTTACTAAGAAATAGCTTCAATAATATTGCCTGAGCAGCTACAGAATTATATGTAGTGAATTTTTGGGGCACTTTTTTCAGAGTCAAAAAAAGTTACATGTGGTATAACATGTGATTCATTTATTCTGATGGGTAAAAAACTGAGCAGAACTGTATGTACATGATAGACAACTATTTACTTAGCTTGCGGCACATATGTAGTGTGGGTGTTATGGCTCAGGTGTGCAGTATTGGATCCTTTTATGACAAACTGTACTATTAATCATTTTCCTCTTTCAACTTGGGGAGTTGAATAATGTTTGCAGTGAAGATGATAGTAAGGTGCATCGTAGGTTGAGCTAAAAAGGATGTTAGATTGGGGGACAAAGATAAAGGAGGATATTGATATCAGAGATGAAGTTGAAGGAGAAGGTGATTTGCAGATTGATGGAATAATTTCAGAGCTACAACATAAGCTGTAAAATAATTCACCAAAGGACCAAGAGTAAATTGATTGTGTGGGGACACGTGAGAGCTGTCAAGACGTGATGGAATGCTGTGGAAAAGGTGTGCAAAGGAGTCAAAAGCGTGGCAAAATGACATTTAGAATACCTTGTTGCAATGAATTTGCTTGAGTTTTAGATACAGTTGACTCTGAGATAACCCATACCCTTTTATGGAACCCAAAAAGTATGGGTTATCTTAGAGTATGGGCTATCAGGATCCTCTGCAATAACCCATATATTAGTGGTTATGGTTTATTGCAGAGATTTTTTTGCGGAAGGCAAGAGAGTATGTGATTTCATTGCATATGTTTCAAGAAGAGCAAGCAAGGAAAGACAATAGGTTGGGCTGGACTAGCGTTTTGGAACAAGCTGCACTGAATGTACGCAGAGCTTGCCGAAGAGCCCTCCCACAAGATTTTGCTTCCTCAGAATCTTTGTGTCTGAGGTAATTTGTCATTACATTGGCTGACTTAAGGAAGTCAGAGTATGCTGGGCAAGGAGGTACCTTGATCTCAGCGTGTTCTGGAGCAGATAGAGGTGTGATGTTGTTGCATTGTCTAATTGCTTCAAAGATTTCCTCCGGACTCCAGGTCTCAAGGCCACTCGTGTGCTCATAGGTAAGATTTAGGAGTTCCGTAATGGGCATCATATTTTTTATGAACAATTCAATGAAATGAGTTCTTGAATATCCTGCTCAAGATCTTGCTGAGCAGATGGATTGAGACTCTATGGTGCAATATTTGATTTTTTTTGTGGAAAACTATGGGTTTTTGGCTTTGATTTTCAAAAAAAAGCTATGGGTTATGGGGTATGATACAGTTATGGGTTTTTGGTCTGTTTTCCACGCCCATAAAAAAAATTATATGGAGGCCAAAAACTATGGGTTAGGGTAGAGTGTGGCGTATTGGGGATATGGGTTATTTCAGAGTCAACTGTACACATGTTTGTGGTTTGTTGACGTCCTTCAAAGACTTGTGTTTACAAATATTTCAGTCAAACATGTAGGTGAAAGACTGGTATTTGGAATTCTTCAGAGCTAGAGGATTTTTCTGGGAATCTTAAAACAAATTTGATGAAAAGCCTCTTGCAAATCAAAGTCCCTGAATCAGTCGAAATCCGGTACTGATAGTCATTACTTCTCTGAATGGTATCCTTGAACAACTCTGGACTGCTCTCCAGATGACCAAGAAGAAACACCACTGCCACATTTTCTTCATAAAGTAGACAGTTAGGACGCGGTGAGATCTCTGCATGGCTTCGGAGTATTTTAGCCAGAGACAGAGCTGGTCTTACATCGGCATCATCGGCACTTACAATCAAATCATGAGAGGAAAAGAGTCAACAGGATCAGATTCAAACTCACTCTGGTCTGCTGACAAATTTCCTGGAGTCAAGTTGGAGATCTTTCTGCTGGCCGGCAAAGTCGAGCTGTTCTCACGGCTCAGGAGTCAGGGCTCGGGTGTTCACTGGGTGGTTGTCCAGCTGCATGGGCCCGGAAAAGGACTCGGGTCGGGTCAGTCGTCATGACTTTCTTGAATTTTCTTCTGATCTGTTTCCATAAGCGCATACATTCAACTATTGAACTTTCAAAGGATTATGCCATCTACTTTACCTTCTCACCTTGGTCTCATCATCCTACGAGCAATTTACTTCCTCGGTTGTCGTCGCTATGTACATCGCTCTCTTCTATCTGACTTGCGGCAAGTCATACGGGATGACTCTCTTGAACTCACTGATCCCATCGAATCAAACTCAGAATCCGATGAAGAGTCCATGACTGTCGGTCTTACCAATTGGTTCAACAAGTCTAGCTCATCTTCTGCCAAACCTGACTCGCTCCCGATCAGGACTCCTAAACGATCTTCAACTGCTTCGAAATCCGCACCTTCCATCCCAGCTGGGTTTACGACCTTTTTATTCTGCTGGTCGTTCTGCGAAGGAAGCCTCCTATTCAGCATCGTCATCCTTGGTTCATGGCTGGATACCACGTTCGTTTAGAAATCTTTATCGATTATAACCTCGAGCCAATGAGAACTCTTTCGGCTTATCACTCATGATTCGCCCTTCCTTCCCTGCAGAGCTCGCAATCTGAATTGGAACCTTTCCCTTGGAATATTGATTGCGTCGGTCGTCTACGTATTTCCATTGGCCGAATGCCTATTGTTTGCAAACTCAGTGCTGAGCCGCAAAGGTGAGGGCAGATACCACCTACGTCAACTTGAACCCGAACCATAGCCAGATACTGACTTGTAACTTAACTTGACTAGCCGCCGATCGGCCCAGACTGCTCTCCCCTCGCACCGTTGGTTTAACTCTGCTTCCTTTTTTAGGATATCTTTTTCTTTATTATCGGGTTGGTCAAACCATTCAAGGTCTTCTTGGAGTTGAAACTGGAAGCCATTCTTTCGGTGTGTATTATATCCATGCTAATTTAGACTGCATTGGCAACTCGAAATATAATTGAATCCTTTTCTTTTCCTCTTTAGGATTTTTGAACACAACACTGGCTCGAATATGCGTACCTGGTGTCTTTTTGATTGCGTCTCTATCTGGTGGTGCAGCCGTGAATACCGCCTGGGAAACTTGGGAATGGCGTCGGCGAGACAAGGAGTGAGGATATTTGCCCCATGTGCTATGTAATAACTTCTTGACGCCTTTCTTTCTCTTCGTGATTATCAGACCACCTATCACTGACCAGCATATAGCCTCGGCTGAGCAAGCCCTTCAACGCACTCGAACGGATCTCCAAGCTCGACGAGCGGCCGCCTCTCAGTCAGCTGAAGGCCCATCCTCAAGCGGCATTATGAGTTTATTAACTGGTACCCGTGCGTAAATCTGCCGATCACCTTCAATTTGTGTTATACATCGTTGATGTCTTCGGCAAATGCCACTTGGGGTACTCTCTTTATCAGGAACCAGCCAGTTACAGCTAGAGTTATCGGGAGTGGAAGCTCTGGAGCGACAAATGACCGCTGATCTGAACTCGATGAAGCAACGCAAGGCTTATGCTGAATATTCACGTACACTCCCAGGTATCCTGCTCAATTGTGCTAACTGGAGTCTCTCGGTCTATTGTATATACCGATTATTCATGGCGAGTTCTATCAGGCAAAATCTCAACATGCCCTCCTTTCATGCGCTGATTGTGTGTCTCAAATATATCACAGGCATGTGTCAACTTGATTTTCGGATACGTGCGACCGGCTGGGACGGGAAACACTGGTAACGCACGAAGCCCGACAACCGACGTGGTCACTTATCTTCTTGCCCGAGTCCTTGGAACATTCCAGATTGAACTTGATATTAGTACTCTCAGCCGCCTTGTTGGACTGGTTTTGATTGGTTCGATCATCGTCGTGAACTTGCGTGCATCGCTAGTCTGGGTTCATCGGGCCTTCTCTCGCTTAGGCTCTGGTGGCCTCATCAGCACACCGTTCATGCTGCTTATCCTCGGACAATTGATGGTAAGGTGGCATAACTTGAAAATTTCAGCACAAATGACATGACAAACAACTGATTGGACTTTTTCTTTGCGTCTTAGGCCATGTATCTCTTAACTTGTCTCATATCTTTACCGTCGGCGAGCTCGAGTACACGCCCGGATGATCTACTATCTACTTTGCCGTCCTTCCACCTCTTTAGTAGACTTTTTGATATTGTGTTCCTTGTGACTGGAATTCTTACTGGTCTGATTCGATGGCTTGCTAAACAAATTCTTCAAACTGAAGATCAGGAGACAATGGCACTCAACCGGATCATAGTTTAGATCTTTTGAATCAGTACAGAGCAGTCGAGCAGAGAGTGGGTTGTAAGAACATTTGTCATTTTTGTTTCACATACCAGTGTGGCAAGAAAGAGGAGCAAGCACAAGCTTAAACCCCCACTCCTTGCCAGTAACACTATCGTTGTTTTTTTGGTTGGCTTTTTGATCAGTTGAACCTGTGTGACTTGAATGGACACTTCATAATTTGATTTCTATTCTCATTTTGTATTTACATTTTCTTGTCTTGTGATTGGGCTTGCTTGGTAGAAGATTATGTAGATTAAAAGTTTATTATATTTGGTCCTGACAGTTTGGTGAGTAAGAAGAAAATGCATTGCCTTTGGAATTCATCATTCAATTCTTTGTTGCACTTTGATTTTGAGCTGATGATCAAGTAAAATATTGGATCAATCCAATTTGTTTGATTGTAGTCAGCCTGATCAATGTGGAACCAGACACAAGGAGAACCCCAGCCCTGCCATGGACCTTCAGCTTTGCCAGTCATGGTTTAACACTTCACAGGATCCACTGATTCTAAATGGTCAAACTTCAATGGTGAGGTGGCTTGGAATCACAGCTGAATTCACAAAACACATGCTTCTCAAAACCAATCCTGAAAACTACATCAAACAAACTGAGGAATTTCTGAAATGTCCATGGAATTCTATGAAACAGATGATCAACAAGTACATTGGGTATCTCTCCAAGGTGAAGAGCTTTCACATTAGTAGGAAATCAGCCCACAACATTACTACCAACACTCACAAAATGTACTTCCAGTAAGAGCACCACATCTTCAAACATTTATGTCACAACCTATTAAAAAGTGGGGCTAAGTGGATTGACTACAACACTGACCTTGCTTGACATGCCAATCCCAATCCTCTCAAACCCCCACCCTCTGTCATTTCCATTTAGTCAACCATACCATCTCTAACTGGCATTGATGATTCTGACATTGAGGTGATCTCTGCTGATTGTGATGATCACCCTATGGGCAAAGAATTAGCCAAATGGGCAAAGCAAGTGGATTCCATCCTGTCTAGAGGGCAGAGAGTACAATTACAGTGGCTAGCAGCTCAATTGTGTTGGATTCTTGAATTCAAGCCTCAGAAGTCAACTTCCTTACTGATGATGCTGTCCTCAGAAGTGCTATCAGCACACTTCAGGGTAAAATCAAATTCTTATATCAGTTGAAGCAGGCAGAAATTGTCAAGAAGCATATGGCCATATGAAAGTCCTAAGTGTAGAGTAATTTCGTCCATTGTTGTGATCTTGGTGTCTTATTTATTTGTGTATAGTCCCTTGATCCTACTTGAGTATGATTTTTTGGTATCTTTTGCTATGATCTTTTCTCCTTTTTTTGTATAGTCCTTTGCTCCTATTTGCATACAATTTGGTCACATATTTTTCTACGATATTTTGGTGTATACAGCTACCATGAGTTTTTTGTCTGGCTTGATGTTGTGAATGTCTGTATTTAGCACCACAAAATGTCTATTTCTATCTATAATATTTTATAAACTTTTCATGTGAATGATGAGTACAAAGTTTTAGATTTTATAAATTATCCTGGACACAACTGAGATACTATAGTATCTATCTGAGCCACAAAACAATTCAGATAATCCAAGAGGAAATACTTTAAAACAAGCACTTACTTGACAAAAGCAAAACAAAATTGTCTGAGAAACAAAAAGATAATATAAAACTATCCTACCATAACACTATCTGAGCCACAATCAACGCAGTTACCATTCTCAAACTTCAGCTGCTCAAAATAAGCTACAGAGATGTTCAATGAGGTCTTTTTGAAGTTGGAAATGTATGTTGATATCTTCCCCTTGGCATTCAATTTCAAGAAATTGCTGGTATGGTACCATGTCATTGCCTGAATGTAGCACCTCTGCAACCCCCGACCCCAGCGCAGTGCAGCGCACTTTTGGTGCAATTTGCGCTGTGACGGAAGTAGGCTCAGTGAGCACTGCGCAGCGCTGGGGAACCCGCGCAGTGATGAAAAATCGCTGATACCCATGCGCTGTGAAAGGCGCAGTGAGGTACAGCGCAGTGACATAAACTGCGGGCCAAAAAAACAAAAATCGTATTTAAAAAAAGAAAAATTGTAATTGAAAACAATTGTAAATAACAAGCCAGCGCCCATCAAAACAATTATAAAGGAATTATAAAGAAAAAGAGAGTAATGAATGTAAAGAAAATATAGAGAAAGGGAGGGAAAAACCATTGAAGCTATTGAAAGGAAATCACAGTGAAACTAAACATTTGCCGCTCTTTTCTTCTTCTTCATCAATCCCGCCACCAGCTGTTCCACAGCTTGCACTGCCTTACCTAGGTCTCCTTCCGGGACAAACTTTTGCTTAAGCCATTGGCATATACCAACGGCACGTTCAATTGATCTAGATGTTAAGAGTCCGTTCGGTTGCCTCCGACCTCGCAGGTTGACCCAGCCAAAATCTCAAGCGTACGCTTCGAGGCAGTTTGAAGTGTACGCTTGAAATTCTGCTGTTCGGTACAGAAGCCGCGGTCGACCTTTGAGGCGTCCACCTCGAGGTCGGCCAGCCAAATTTGTCGACCTGCCAGGTTTGACGTTTTGGTCGAATCTTGCAGGTTGACCTGGCTAGTGCCATAGACCTGAAACCAGGAGCGCGACATCAGATTTTGCAAAGGGAGAAAACCCATAAGTTGCGAGGTCAACTACACTTCAAGTCGAGTGTACCGAACGCACCAAACCCTGGTACACGCTTCGTGGCAGACATGGTCTACCTGCGGATCCGCAGGTAGACGCCTCGCAAGTCTACGCCTGCGAGGTCGAAGGCAGCCGAACGGACTCTAAGCCGCCTCGTCTATTTGCACACACAATGGCCGCAGTTGAAAAGGTCCTTTCGACTGCGCTAGATGACCCCACGCAAGCTAGGAAATCACGAGCCAGCTTCGCGATTTTTGGAAATCGTTTTTGATTGAGCTACATATGACATAATCAAGTCAGTCAAGTCCTCAACACAAGAACACAAGATATAAAAAATTCTATAACATACGCGCCACCAATCTAATATGTCGGTTCCTCGCTCACACGGATGCATGCCCGAAAAGTACTGGTCCAGTTCTTTGTCGCTGGTCAGAGTTTTTCCAGAGGCACTGAACACATTTGTCTCGTCCAGAGGGTCGATGATTTCGTTTGCTTCAGAATTTTCATGAGAAGTTGACTTCGATGTGGGATCTGTTTCCTCATATTTGGCAAAGTGTTCGCGAAATAAGCCTTCAGCACGCACCACGTACTCGGGATACTTTGTCTTGAACTGCTCGAGTCGAAGCCTTGGATTCAAGATAGTGGCCATAACGATTGGGTCACAATGTAGTGATTCAGTTTGATACTCTCGGAGCTGCGTGATCATTGCAGTGATCATGTTCTTTAGACCGTCATAAGGGGTTCTAGCTTTAGTATCAGCCAGCATCGATATTAACCCAGAGTATTGAAACAGCACAGAGGCTCCAGTGGGCCCGTCGCCTTCCATAATTTTGGTCGATCGAAGAAAGTACTACAAATGTTGTGTAAGTTAGATGGTGCGATTGATTGTGGAATACAAACAAAAAGTCTTACCATCAATACATCATTCAAAGCCTCAATGGCTTTCCATTCGTCCGGAGCAATCGTAATTCCTTCATAAAAACCTTCTTGGTCTTCGCTGATCATGTAGTTGATAACCTGTACAACACAATGTAAGTACATCAAATTCAAACCTTTCATGTTTGACAAAAACTTACTGATTTGGCTTTACACAAACGTGACTGGGCATCCAACCATATGTTCCACCTTTGACCGTGGGCAGCAATCAGCCCTGCACCCGCATAACCCAGCTGACTCGCAGACGCCTTGAAATGATTAAGCCTTGGCGCGCTCGATGTAATGAGTTTGTTGATTCGTCGTACCTTGGAACATTTCAAGTAATCAGTAAGTTTCACGCTCCATATTAGTTAGACAAGTTCATGAACACTTTACCTTGGTCACCGCTCGGGGTAATAGAGAAGCGTCTGGCTTTTGAACCTTGTAGTCAGGCGCTTGTTCTTCATCTTCGGAGTCATCACTTGCCTCAACATCCTGACCGGCTTCCTGCTCGATGTCTTCACTTTCGCTGTTTAACTCGTCATGGTCAACATCATCAACCACAGAACCGTCTGTCAATATAATTTTCGGTGGAGGCAGATGATCATCGGGTAGGAGGAGGCGTAGTCGTTTTCCAGTTGGTATGGTGGGTTTGACTCAACCATGATCGCCTAGACCAATCACCTCGAGACCAGCCTTGACTGTCAACGCGAGTTTGTGACAGTAGCTGTCAGCCCTGAGTACATATACATGTACCCAAAACTAACCTGTAACAGTAAAAAACATATGTATAAGATTAACTACATGTTACATACTGAGCATAGACTGTATGTAACATGTAATACAATGTATCAAAACCTTTATTACATATACATGAACCTGTAAAACAACATGTAATATGTAACAAAACACCATTTACACCTCATAACTCAGTGTCAAGAGTTAAATGCTTATATTACATACCACACACAAGAAGTATATGTAATTAAGCATTACTAGTAACAATCATGACTACATGTCAATAACTAACCCTGAACCAATGTAGTGATAATAACAAATGTCACTACAGTTAGGTTTGGAGAGGAGAGTATATAAACCCCTCCTCTCTCAGCCTTCAGAGAAAACCCCAAGCAATTATTACCGACTACTTTTAAAGAACAATTAAAGTTCACTGAAGTAAAATATCAAGAGTCTTATACAAATAAGACTAGTGATAAGCTTCATCAACTTTAATCAGATTCCTGATTAAAAGTAGGTAATACAATTCTCCATTTCCCTCTGGATCCTCTACTTCCCCTAAGTAGAAACCCAATCAAGGCTAGTGACCTCCAACAACTCCAGGCTAGTGACCTTAGGAAGAACTACAGGCTGGTGACCTTAAGAA